GAAATGCTTCAGCAAAAGAGTTGAAGTCCTTAAGGTAACAACAGAAACACACCTATTGATTCAAGATAGAGTTCCGAACCCAAGCTCACAAGAAGTACCCCTATCCAAGCCTCGAACCAAATAAAAGCAAGAAAGAAAAAGAAAAAGGAACAGAAGAAATAAAAAAATCAACAAGTCAAATATGATTGCTGCGGGGGTCATGGCCGAACACAGTCTTCAGGATGGACACGGGGCTCAGTGGTTAGGGCACCGGTTGTCAATGCGCATTGTGTTCTAAGGTTGCGGGTTCAAAACTCCGCACCTCTGTGCAGAGACACTGGCGGGTGTTTACATAATGCACGGTCAGTTGTATCTTGGGTCTATAATATGATTGGTTTGCTTGCACACTTGGTCCATGGGGTTGTCTGGATGCTTGCACACTTGTCCCTTACTCGAGCTTAGTGTAGCACATGTTCAGACCATTCGAGACTGTAGTTCAGTCGGTTAACACTGGTCACTGATAAGCATGAGGTCCAAGGTTCGAGTTTTGATAACGAAATACGAGTTCAAGAATAAACATTGTGGGGATGCAGACTAGGGTTGTGAGCCCTTGATCACGTGGTATTGGTTACCTTAGGGCTCAGCTTTTGGGGGGCATGGGTTCTAGGTGGGATTGAATGGGGACTCCGCTGGGGGGAGGCTGGTTGGACACTATCCCTGCTGGAGGGTTGGAGCCCCTGCGGTAGTGGATGTCTTAGGGGTCCTCTGGGTTGACGTAAAGCTGGGATAGGCACTGGCCGAGTATATTGTTGGGGAACCTGCATTAGAGGCTGTCTTAGGGGGGTGAAGGTTGGTCTGTTACCTGCATGGAGAATACTGTCAGATTAGAGTAGCCCAGAGTAGTTTCCGTTGATGATAGAGGTTGGGGGAGCAGGATGGTGGCCGTCACCCCCCTGAGGACGGAAAGTGGAGTTACTCTGGGGGATGCTAATAGAATGCCTAGACATCCAGTTTGATGATAGAGGCATGGGGAGCGGATGGTGGCCATAAGCCTACTGAGGACGGAAACTGGAGATGCTCTAGGTTCGAATAACCTCGGCAAGAATTCAAAGAATAACGAGAGGGATCTGGTAATGATAAGGCTAGGATCTCTCTAAAAACCAACAAAAACTAGGGTTTGCCTATGGGACTTGTAGTGGCATGCTTAACCCTAAAGCTCGAAGTGCCCGGTACGACATGGCTCATTTGATAGTGCTTCAATCAGGGCTGGGGAGGGAGGTGAGAACCTGCTCAGCTCTGATGCCTATAACCGCTGTCCAGTCAAGAGATCACTAGAATGGTTGATGATCCTGGGTATACTCAGGTAGGACCTTGGGAGTTGGGATCATGACGATGAGTAAGGGTGGGAGGGTGTCTCATAGGGGACTGGTTAGGCAATACATCGGGATGATCATATGGTCAGGTGCTGGCGGGCCTGTCATATGCCTAGTGGCCAGCCTCTGCAACAAAAAACAGAAAGGGATGGATACAGCAATTCAAGACCTGGAATTTGATCTAGCACAGTGGGCCTGGACACCAGGCAGAAATAGAAACCTCAAAACAAGCATCCACATCCATGAATACACAGTCAAACTGGATCCTGATCCAACAATTGAAACAGATGGCTAAAGTTAATCGGTCAGGATGCTAATCAGATCTCACAAATACCACGGAAGAAATTCAAATCAATCTGTACGGTCAAAATCAGAAGCCTTCAATGGCTCATCACATATGTAGCGCTACCGGTCAACCAATGGTTGCACATCAGAAGAAGTTAGAATGACCCTAACAGTTCGGACCTATGTGTGGTACGTTCAGACAAGGAACCAGAAGATAATGTTACACTGCCTAATACGATGTAGGGAAGCGACGGGATATTGGGCTAGGGCATCGGACCTCTGGGACTCCCTTTTCCTGACTCCCCTCCCCGAACACCGCATCCAACTCCTGCTATGGACCAACATCCCTGCGCACTTCGATAAGACGGAGAAGATCGGGTTTGGGGAGATCAGGAAGTAACACTGGTCTATACGGAAGGAAAGGTGCAGCAGAACCATTGAAGGTCTCTCAACGCCGAGGGAGAAGGTATGGACGGAGACAACAACATTGATTCAGGAAGAGATTCGATGCAAATGGCAGACGACGAGACACTCCATGCCGGATGGTGTGCACCAACAGCAGAAAATCAAGGAAAAATTATCGAAGGAGTGGCTGGCAGGTGGCAAGGTAGAAGGCGATTGTGTTGTGAGTGACAACGTCAAGCCCGTCGACGCGACCTCACAGAGAATTCAATCTATGTACAACGACCTTCAAACAACTAGGTCAGGCGAAGCAAGAGACAGAGAAATTGTAACGAGCGGAAAGCTGAGGGAGACAGGGAGAGCCGAGGGAGAGGAGAGAGGGAGAGAGTGAGAGCACACACACACACTCACTCACTCGACACGACTGAGGGTCGGACGCAGACACACGGGCAAGGACACAAAGTCGAAGTCTTGGATTCCGAATGCCGAACAGGAGCAAGTCACACTGAGTACGAGTACAGCAGCAGAAAACTGGTACGAGACTGGTCCCCGTACCGTACGGGGAACCGGTATATGTACCGGTGGCACGTACGGTACCAGGGGCATTTCTGCAAAGGCCCGAGGGCAGAACTGAAAAATGCAGAATTTGAAAGTGGCACCTGAATTGCAGCATGGCGCCATTTGTCCAAAATCCTACGGTACCAAAGGAGGGGTTTGGAAAAAGGGTGCCAGGCCGAAAACGGGATGCAGCCGAAACAGCAAAAAGATAGACCAGGGATCGAGCCCTGGCGAAGTCCGTAACACTATCCCCTCCCTCTAGAAGGCAACGTCCCGGCTGCCAAAAATCATGAAGCAATGCTGAAATCTGTGAAGGACGGGACGGGGCCGATCACTGGTTAACAAGTCGAAAGGGAAGAGGGGTATAATGTGGGTGGCATGGGCTGCGGGAGTAAGAGGGAACAGGGTTTGGTACCGGTGAACAGAGTTGTCCTACTGATGAACTAGGGGGGGTTGCAAGGAACAGGGTAGTCCTACAAATGAAGTAAAGGGAAGATAGGGAGCAGGGTGGTCCTACTGATGAACTAAGGGGACTGCATGGTTCGCTATAGGTTAAGGGGGAACAGAGTTCAGGATGCGAAGGCTGGTGTGTCCGAAGGAGTCGGAAGCAGAATCTCATGTAGGAACAAAGTGTCAAAGTGTCTTGAAAGGGGGTCTGCAGCGGTCTTGATCAGGTCTTTGGAGTAGGTGGTAGAAGCGGTCTTCAGCAGCTGCGATAGGTAGAAGTCCAAGAAGCGTAGTAGTAGTTCAAGTGTCAAAGTCCAAGTGCTAGGGTGCGTCCGGTACACGAACTGCAATGAGGTCTGATCTGGGAAGCAAGGAAGTCGCAGACTGATGCAARGATCCATGTCACAAGTTGCTGCTCCAGTAAGTCCGTGAGTCGGGATGCCGGCCAATGAAACAGCATGGTGGCTAAACCAGCTGCATAATCTCCATGAACAGTGAGGCAGCAGGCCATCGTCCTCGTGCGCTTGCCATTAGATCCTTTATCGCCGGCGTCACGCAAGTTCACAAGCATTGGACAAGAGAGACAAGGTAGTGGAGAGGACTGATGGGGCAAGGCTAGGCGAGGGCAGGGGCAGATCAGACATCAGGAATGGGGATCAAGGGAAGGGTGGACTGGGTTCAAGGGTGTGTGTAGAGCAGGGTTGCAAGGGTTTAGCGGGGGTTTATGCCATAGTGATATAGGTATCTAGGACGTAGGATTAGCACGATCATAGGCGCAGACAAGTTTCATGGCATTCTTAAGATTAGAGAGAGGTTCCCATGTAGATTCTTCGTCGGGGTATCCGGTCCATTTGACTTTGTATTCAGTGATTGGTTCCGGATGATCAGATACCTGAGTGGTTCGTCGGCCGATGATGGTTTCGACAACGAATTCAGGGCCTGTGGGTAGCATGATTGGTGGAGGTCTAGGATATGGGCGGTCGGCGAACTGGAGCAGGGATTCATGGTATTCCTTTAGGTACTCGACATGGAAGACTGGGTGGACACGACTCATGTTAAGGGGGAGTTGGAGTTTGTAGTTGACGGGGGAGGTTTGTTCAATGATGGGGAAGGGACCAAGCCACTTGTTCGAGAGTTTCTTGGACAAGCCTTGTTCGGGTTCAAAGCGTTTGGTAGAAAGCCAGACTTTGTCCCCTACTTTGAATGACACGTCACGTCTGTGTTTGTTAGTCTTGTTGGCTTGTTGTTCTTGTGTTCTTTCCAGGGCTTCGGTTGCTTCTCTGAGGAGTCTGTTCATTGTTCCTATCCATTCATTGAGAGAGGGGCAAGGGGTGGAGGGGCTGAGCTGCGAGGGAAGCAAGAAATCAGAGGGCAAGCGGGGATGGTAGCCAAGGTCGAGCTAGAAAGGGGACATGCCAGTGGAGGGGCAGACAGTATTGTTGTAGGCAATTTCTGCGGCTGTGAGCAACTGATCCCAATCGTGTTGGTGTGGATGACAATACTTCTGCAAGATTCTTTGGAGTGTATCGTTCATCTTCTCTATTTGTCCATCGGTCTGTGGGTGGAATGCAGTGCTATACTTGAGCGTGGTTCCGTAGGCCGTGAAGAGGTGTTTCCAGAATTGTGAGAGGAAGCGAGGATCACGGTCACTGATGATGTTCTCGGGGAGGCCGTGATGGCGAGCAACATGGTCGAAGAAGAGTGTGGCGACGTCTTTGGCACTGTGCGAGGTCGTGAAAGGGATGAAGTGGGCACGTTTGGTCAAGCGGCACACAATGACGTAGATGCAATCATGCCCGCGGTCGGTCTTGGGGAGGCTGCACACGAAGTCCATGGAGATGGACTGCCACCGGTGAGTTGGGATGGGCAATGATTGGAGCTTGYCGGGTTTGGCCCGGTTCGAGGGGTTGACAGCTTGACACGTGGGGCACGAGCGAGTGTATGCCTTAACGTCGGCGAGTAGGGAAGGCCAGTAGAAGTAGCGGGACATGGTGTCGAAGGTCTTCTGGAAACTGAGATGTACTGCGGTCTTGGCGTCGTGGTGCTCGGCCAACAGCTAAGTACGGAGGCCTCGTGCGTCGGGGATGCAAAGTCGGCGAGTGCCTTTGGTATCGATGTAGAGGAGATTGTTGTGAAGGGAGTAGTCGGGAACCGAGTCAAGATCGCGGAGCTTGTTGTAAATGGTGGCGACGTCTGGGCAGGAGAGATAGCCTTGGGTGTATCGATGATGAAGCGATGGAAGGAGTTGAATATGAGTCATGGTGGCGTAGACTTTCTCGGGGGGCTTGTGGTCGGGTCGTTGCGAGAGGGCATCGGCAACGCGGTTGCTTTTGCGGGGGGTATGGCAAATGGTGAATGTGAACTGGGCAAGGAAGTCTAGCCAGCGGGCTTGGCGTGGAGTGATATCYTTCTTGGAGAGGATGGAGGAGACGATGGTGTTGTCAGTTCGGAGGGTGAAGTATTGCCCGTCGAGGTACGGGCGCCAGACTGTGAGGGCGTGAATCACGACGGGGAGTTCCTTCTCGTTGGAGGGGTAATTCATCTTCGCGGGAAGGAGCTTCTTGCTTCAAGTTGCAAAGGCGATGGGGTATTCACCAGGTGGAGCCTCGGGGTAAGTGGGCGAGTCGTTGATGGAGGGGGTCTCGACGGTGTCGCGGGGGAAATGTTGGGACAGTACGGCTCCGATGGCGAAGTCGGAGGCGTCAGTGGTGACATAGAAATGGCGAGTGGGGTCGGCGATCTTGAGGACAGGGGCCGTGGTGATGGTTTGCTTGAGTAAGTCGAAAGCGTGTTGGCGGCGATCGTTCCAATGGAAAGGCTCGTCCTTGCGGGTGAGTTCGTGGAGAGGGTAAGAGATCTCGGAAAAGTTGCGGATGAACGGGCGGTAATAGTTGGCAAGGCCAAGGAAGGAACGAAGTTGGAGGAGGGTCTTGGGTGGGGGGTACTCGACGAGGGCTGTGACCTTTGAGGGGTCCATACGGATGCCTTCAGCGGAGACAATATGGCCGAGGTATTCGACGCTCGAAGCGGCAAACGTACATTTGCTGAGCTTGGCGTAAAAATTTTGCTCGCGCAGGATCGAGAGAACTTGGCGGAGGTGCTGAAGGTGGGACTCGAAGGTGGGCTGAGGACAAGGATGTCATCAAGGCAGACGACGACACAGACTTCGAGGAGGTTGCGGAAGATGTGGTTCATGGTAGATTGGAAGGTAGTGGGGGCATTGGTGAGTCCGAAGGGCATCACGAGAAACTCGTAGTGCCCGAACCGAGAGCGGAAGGCGGTCTTGTGGGTATCCTCCTCGCGGATACGGATCTGGTGGAAGCCACTGCGAAGGTCGATCTTGGTAAAGTACTTAGCTC